CGAAGGTCCTGCCCGATGCGCTGCTCAAAGCAGCACTTCTGAAAAAAAGCAATATAGCAGATCGTCAACATCTAGATGAGTTGTTATGTGATATCAACTTAAAGAAAAGTTCAGTTACTCACGGGCTCACACGCATGTGAGAAGTCACTGGTCATCGAACGTTGGATGATGGTCTTTTCTGTAAACTCTTCATTTTGATGCTGCCATATCCGGTGGAAACCTTGCTGTTGACACTTCAGTTGGTTGCTGTGGATGACCAAACAGCCTAGGCTGATAAAATACTGAGGATCTTTGGTAGACCTGTCCTAAATGTATTTTCTGTCATCGAAAAACCTAAAGATCAGGACTTTGTCATTTTCCAGGGAGAATCTTTCCTGGTTCTAAATTCGCATCTAGGGCTCACGGTTAAACTCGTTGACCAAGTGATTGAAGGTAACTCAACATGAGTTGTTTTCCTTCATACATTCTGTCCTTCCGCTGGACTCAATCTTTGAACTTCCCACCACTGTTAAAAACCTTCTTTAAGATCTTATATGGTACTGTCATGCAGGTTCAAAACGGTAAATCCGGTGCACTGACGCGGCTGACGTAACCGAAACAACATTCCAGACTTTATCCACGGCCAAATAGAGGCAGAATACTGATCTCTTGAAGAAGTGGTCAAACCCTGTTTCTAGGATACCAATAGCTACCACACAGGTGACGCAGAGTAGCCTTAATATGCCACAAAGTATTTCTACTCCTGGCGGGGACCAGAATACGCCTAAAAAGAGGAAATGGCGCAGCAGGTACAGGAATAAGGCAGTCACAAACAGTTCACCACAATCTATGGCATCACCTCCAAGGGAAGCAGATTGCTCCATGACATCTGCAATATTCGCACTAAAGTTGTATCGGTAGTCGATGAGGCACTCGCATGCAAATTATCTTTTCGATGGGTACATTACTAATATGACAGCAAAGTACCCCAACGCCACCATAAGTTCATGATGCGACAACCATGCAAATGGTTCTGGTGCGCCTGTCCAAGAAGCTCCTCACACTCCATACGAAAAGCTTAAGGAGATACTCACTACCACACAGAAGCCGTCAAAATCCACAAACAAAGTAGAATCAACATCAAAGGATAACCACAAATGACCCCGAAAACAAAGCTACGTCTGTAGCTATGCAAAGACCACCACACACGAAACCATATTAGGTCGAGCTTCAGTGTCCCCTACTTGGTCGCCGAGAACGTCAAGCACATGGAAAAAGACAGTCGGCTGAACCCTTGATGAAACTCGGCCTAAACGTCCTAGATACTGCGTCCCAGAAACAACCATAGAAAAATGCATGACAAACCCACTGGGAAATCTGGCTTGTCGCCCATAACGAACGCAAATGATAGGAGGGCCAACTCAATCATCTTGTTTAACGTCGAAGTATCGACAGACTCACTGTTGGTCAAGAGAGAACAGTTTGACTGCCATATGTGGGCTGTCTACTGCCAGGTACCAGGACTTCCTCCTCTCCTCGTGACACTATGTCGCCTTTCTCACGGAAGCCAGGCACTCCTGGAGAAACCACTACTCTTCCGAGTATCTTTGAGGGCCATGAAAGAAGCTGAAGATACAGTTCTTGTTTCACACCAACCGGATGTTGTCAGCACCTGTAAAATCCGGCCGAGGCCTGAAAAACAATGGTAATTGGGAGAGAAAATCCGCATTTGGGAATCCAAACAGAAATGTCATTATGGTTGTATATGGAATCCAAGAACTGCCAAGTGACCGTTATGCCAAAGATCGGTACCTCCACGACGTCCAACAATGGCATTCAAATAAGGTTGGCTCCAACAATTTACCGCCTAAGAGCGTCAGCAGACTGCTGATACCAACGCATCTGAAGTACATCCCCACTCCACCACTAGACTACTCGCTATCCAATTTGACTCACATATCTGCATCACAGAAGTTCTACAAGCATGGTGTAACGTGAAAAATGGCAAGGGCGGGTAGACACACATATGTGAGAGTAAGCCAAGACCCACCAGACAAGAAGAGAGACAGCAACCGCCAAGACCTCTGGAGCCAGTGTCTGTCATACAATCACAAGTCAGTGAGTCAGGTACTGAAGCTTCTGCTACTGCAGTCCACAAGCAAACTGGGAGTGAAGCGCTGAAAAATGGAGGGATGCCAGTCCTATGGGGACTAAGAGGGAAAGTAGCAGAGGAAGAGTTCGGTCCGTGAACACTTGCACTAACATCATATTTGTCGCAGAATCCTGCCTCTCACCTGACGTTTCTTACAGAGATGAATGTCAAAACGAATAATCTAGGTTGCTGAATACAGTTAGTACCCAAAAAGGGATTCATTTTACTGAACTCTCACCCCATTGGAAGTTTCATAAACAACCTTAGTGTTCTTACAACACCAGCATACTTGTCGCATATTTTGATTAACTTAATGAGAAGTAATAGAACACACAAAGCGTAATCAAAAGGCTATATGCACTAAATGTAACATTAATCAACTTCGAACATTTGCCTTCGCCACATGAGTGTGCGTTAATCATTTGCCTTCCTAGTCTTCGGAGTCAGTGAAATATTTTGATGAAAATCTTGGAATCTGAAAAGTGCATCAGATTATTGACGAAATAGCATTTTTTGCAGCCTGTTTATCCATGAAATATACTCTGACAGGACTTCCCAGTAAAAATAAGTGTAAAAGCTGTGAAAATTCCTGTCTTTGAAGATTACTTACTAATGGAACTAAAAATCAAGTTATTATATTTCCCTAGCTGAGCCCTGTAATGTGAAAAACGACTACTATTGTGTCCACTCACAAGGAATGTATAACTTTTTAAGGGAATTGCAGTATTTATTTAAATCTGAACTCACAGGAAGTGGAACTACTAGTATATAGACCAGTGAATCTAGAAACCATTTCGAAGTGTTGTAACGCTCGTCCTATATTATTATGTTTCGTGTGGAAATATATGTTTTAAATGCGCTCTTCATAGTTTTCTACACGCAGTCCAGTTCAACTGAACACTAAAGTTTGCGACTGAAGCATGACAAGCAGAGATTTGTGCTTAAAGCGTTCAGAAGACCCTGTATTTCATTAGTGTCGCTGATTAGTAGGACAATGTTGTCTGCGTGACCCAAGTCAACCCGATGTCCTCCAGGAAGTAGATCAACCCTGTGAAGTGAGGTGTATCTAAAAAGAGTTGGAGGACCAACTTATACGTATCATTCAGGTTAGGAGTGGAGGCTTAGAAACCAAATCGTTACTATGGGCTTGAAAGTGATCTGCTGATACCTTTTCCATCTATCCCGCTTTTACTACCAACTAATACTCGCGACCGTTACGTCTCAGCTGTTTCGATTACTACTGTGAACAGTCAGCTGGAATCGGTCTTTTTGCATCAACCAGTTCGGATGAGGTTGTGGAAATTTAATGACCTCTAAATGTAGGTCACCAAATGTCATTACCACTGCTTCCGTCAGTTTTCATGAGAAAGGAGACTGCTGCTATGTTCAGATAATGGCTTAACTATCTCCTCCCTAAATACATACTTCATGTTTTCGTCTTCCAACCGAGTATGCATAGATCCAGCTGCCTTTCATTTTCTGAGATCAGTAAGATGCAGACATGTGCCCAAACTGGTGTGTGACTGGAGTCTAAGCAGATACTTTAGGAACAGTGACGACCCTCCACCGATTATCTTTAACAATAGTTTATAGTATTACGATCTGTGTCTATCATTGGTTCAATGTCGGTGAACATTATGCTTAAAGTTACGGTTGATAACAAACAAGTGACTGTTAGAAAAGAATTGCAAGAGACGTTCACTGTTATCGGTTCGTTAGCATAGGATTCCACAGATGATTCTGAGATGCCTTTCCAACTAGGTCAGCTTTCTTACTTGAGGGTTGGAGTTGCATGCCACTATGACTGTGTGTGAACCCTCAGCTTTCTGTGGCAAAGTTGACAGTTGTCGACGAAATTCATCCTTTGTACCATCCCAATTGTAGTCCGTGGGAGTGTAGGTGAAGATAATGACTACGTATCAGTAAGTCTTACTCCACCTTTCAGCGCTTACAAATCCATTCAAACTTACAGTACACAAACGGTTGTAGATTGGCATTCACTCGAGCAGTGTGCTTCGTGCTCAGATGTTTAAAGCTCCAATGTGAAATTGGCAGTGTGGTTTTGCGACATGAAGAATGTTTTGTGGTTGGAAGTTGAGGAGGCTATATAGGGGTTAACAGTGGTATCAGCAAGTGAAGACAAGGAAGGTGGGAAAGATACGTAAAGAAGATTATGATTAGTTGAGTTGTGTACGCTGCTGGAAAAGTGCCCATACTACGGAATTTGTTTTTTTTTGGAGGTATTTGAAAAGGAAAATGGAATGTTTTTGCGTGACCACAGAGCCTATAGAACATCTGCTTTAGGCCGGTCACACACGATCTTTATACGATTGTTGGGCTGAGATGAGAAATACTCATATCGCTGGCACAAGAATACCATATGGTAGGAAACGCGTGCCATCTTTAGAGCCAACCTTTTCTAATACCTTTCCACATGCACGAGGAAAGTAGCACCAGCATGATACTGCTGGTCACCCATGTGGAACGCGTTACTGCTGTATATTCCCACCCAGCCAACAGTACGATTGCGCCCTGAGAGTCCCATCATAGCGTAGCAGTTGACACCATAAAGATAACTGCTTCTAGTCATTGGGATATGCAAGTTCAACTACCAACGTCAAGCAATCAGCTACTTTTCAAATCAATATCAATGTGTAAAGCCAAAGACGATATCACTCCACGTAGTACTGACTGAAATTTTTTGATGTAGACAACAACAAGTATGCCACAATCTATGAAAACTGAACGGAAAAGCACTCTTCATTGAAAAGTTGGATCACATAAGAAATGCAAAGAGTAAATTTGGAGTAGATGGTAACAATGAAATATTTTTCTAATAACACAAACCTTAACCAAGAAAGTAGATAAACTAGCGAATAGTCATAAAGGCCTTTCCTTCCCGACTCACAAACGGTGCCAATGTGTTCAGTCCCCGACGTTCTACAGGACTATGTAATCTAATAGCTCGTAAATGAGTGTCGCGTCCATTCTGATGATTAGCTAATATAGCGATTTGTAATAAAAAGGTGCGCAGTGAAGACCCGTCCGGCCAATTCAGTGGAATTACTGACCATCCAGTTGGTTCTTGAAGTTCAACTTCAAGCAGTTCAATAAGATCATGAATCGTATTCCCAACTCGAATAGCTAGCCTACAAAACGAAAGGGATAAAAGATAAAATTTCTACTCGCTAGAAGACAATTTGCTAACAAATCTTGTATAAGCAAATACAATGGAAGTAAAATAAGAAGAATGGTGAAACGAGCAATACTCTACATTAAATCAAATCTTAAGAAAACTGCAAGTCACAACGGAAAATTTATTCCTGTCTAGTACATTCATTTCAGTGCAGCAGTGGTTTATAGGTTCAGGAATTTGACCTTCAACCGATGAGTCACATGATCCAACTCCGCTTCATCATCTATCGACGTCTGGGTAGCCAGGTAGGATCATTGCCATCACACAACAGGTGTATCTCATTGTCTACTGCATGAACGTGCATGTGGTTGTTTAGTGCATTTTGACGTTGTTTACATTCATATTAAAAGCATACCTGATAGCTGTTCAAATTTCACTTAATTAGAAACATTTGTTTCTCGAAACAAATTTCAAACAAGCAAAAAGTGCATAGAAAGCAGGATTTAATGAATGCATAAATTTCGATACAACTCTTCAATTGAAAACACTTTTGGTATATATACCACGATATAAAACTGGATGAGATACATACGCATTTAAATCTAGGGAAATGGAAGAGTGTAGCAGCATGTTTTTCGGACGGTGTTAAGTGAACATGTGAAAGAGTTGGGAGGAGTGTGAAAATTGAAGTGATTTTGAAGGCCACCCTAGCAGCTGCTGAAATAACCAATCAGATTTGGAATTTCGGCTGGGAAGGTAGTTTTTTGTAGAACAGACGTAAGCGGCTAGCTCAGCAGTTGCCAGGGTGGTCTTTCAAGCCACTGACTGAAAAATTACTTGAATCAACATTCAGTTGCGTCATCCTGGATAAAGTAGTCGGTGGGACATTAAATGCTAGTAATGGATCTTCCCAGTAAATGGAACAAGTTATTAAGGAATATAAGAATAAGAATAAACAATACAAAAAAAATAACGTGTCGTCCACTTGAATATACGATGTCAGAAATCTGCGACGGAAACAAGTTATCTAGTGCAATCAGAAATAGAACATAAATAAATACATACTAGGGAATTAGAGTGGAAACTTGGATTGTTACATTTTAAAATGCTTAGTTTAAAGAAGAAATTAGATTCAGTAATCAAAAGAATGCGAACTAATTCTTGAGAGTATTGAATACCATGATCAGTAAGGTAACGAAAGATGAGTAGATAGTTGCTGAACTTTAAAAGTAACGCTAAGTAATCTGAATTAAAGTAGAATTTGGCACAGTAGTATGAGTAAACCTAAGCCACAGTGGATACGGAAATAAACTAAGTGTAAGATTATTTGTAAATAAGGTCTAATCACTGGAATTTCTGATAAAACCAAGGTTTATGATCGAATGCTTTATTCAGCACGGTTTGCATAGATTTAGTATACAATTACTAGTATGCACTATGTATATATAGGTCCTGAAACACGTGGCTTTTCATGTAGTAAATTGGATGAAAAATGTTTCTACGTTATCGAGCCAGGAAAATATCTGAAAAGACTAAAACAGTTACAATAAAAAACAGATAACGTTAGCAATGCTTTTTTATAATTCAAACGTCTATAATACAGAAGTAACAAAGCACAAACAAACTGCGTAGAACTTTTCACTTGAGGCTAAGTAGGTAGTGTGAAGTTAGGAGAGAATTGAGCTAAGACTACATTACAGATGATTTTTTATTATTTACGGAAAAAAGATTTGTCTATGAAGAATCTACGACAGGAATAACTCGTAAGAATATGAACAAAGCCGTTAGAATATGTAACAATGAAATTAGATCATGTATGAAGAATGTCAAGAGAAAGGATGTCTAATTGAGGAATAACAGTTCCACTAAAGAATGATAAAGTGGTTTTCTGCTAAGCAGGCTATTGACTTCTAGGTGATAAGAAAATGACAGGCTATTTCGACAGAAGGTGGCTATCTGTTATGACAAACAAGCCTAATAAGATAGTCTCATTTTCTACTCAACTGAGTAGGCACTGCTGCCTATGACATGATGCTTCTGATATAAATAATCAATCAAATGATCAGAAGAAGCCTACAATGTTGTTTCAAAAAGAATGACGAACCCTAGTTTGTAAGTATCTGTGTTAGTAGTGCTATACAGTCATCAACCAATCTGTAATTTCTCGACGAAAAATATCTGTCTAACTACCTCGCATCGAATTATCTGGTCGCACGTCAGCGGGTTAGTACTTCTCGGTTGCCTCTGTTAGGCAATTATCAACACCGTAAAATAAGGTTACTCACAAGCTTAGTATATCTACCGTAGTGCTTTTACATCGATGCTTAGCTCCTTTCGTAAAATGAACACAAAATTATCATTTAGTACGAGGTATGAGTGGCAAGGGCGACTTTCTGAAGAAAAACTACCCCATTCCAATAACAAATGCTCATGACGGTAATTCCAACTATTGTGAGAAACAAGGCTAAAAATATAGGAGTAAACTATGGCCACTACCGCATATTCTAATAACATTGCAGCCTCTTTAAAAAGAATGTTACATTGAAACAGTATCATTTACTGCTTTACATTTTCGCTGACAGGCCTCAACCCTTTCGTAACGCGCCAAGTCTCTCAACCATCACATAGAACCACTGACTTGACTGGATTACTGTTGAAAATCCGGATATTGTTCACACTTTATACTGAGTGCAGTCAAGTGAAGTAGATCTCCACACTGATTTCAGATTAGTGAAGGCCTGTTTCGCTTTTCCGATCCTGGTTTTGACGTCCTCATCTGTGCATGTGCCCGCCTGTAGTTGAGACGATGCTGCCTAGGTAGGTGAAAAAGACTACTTCCCTTAGGTTTCTCCCGTTGATGGTGATTGGTGCTTGTTGTTGTTGTTGGTTGGGTATCTTCACCACCTTCATCTTCTCCACATTCACTTGAAGTCCCGTTTTCGCTGACCTGCCTCTTCTATCAACTTGTTAGTTTTCGTCTGTAGATCTTCGAGTTTGTGCCACAACACACTAAACATAAATCATCATAGGCGAAATCCAAATCTTCTAGGGTCTTCTCATCGGTCCAGTATATGATCGTCTCCTCGCTCCTCACAGTTTGTTGCATGATCTAGTCCAGTCCACTCGACCACAATCAGATGATCGGTGATAGTAGGCAACCTTGTCCCACTCCTTCCTGTTTTCACTTCAAAGGCGTCACTGAGCTCAGCTTTCCATTGTGAATCACTTGGCATGTTGTGTCTTCATACAGCTGTTGAATGAGGTTAATAAAGGTTTGTGACACTAAAACCGTAGTGTTGAAGCAGTTGTCTACCAAATTACTTCTCGGTCGATGCTGTCGAAGACCTGCTTTTTCAAAGTCGATGAAGTTGAGGTAGAGAGTTGACTGCCATTCTATGCTCTGTTCTATGATGATGCGTAGCGAAGCGTTGCAATTTGATCCACATGTGATTTGTTCTTCCTGAATCAAACCAGCCAGCCTGTTCCGGTCGTAAGTTTGAATCCAGAGCATTGTCTAGTCTCTCCAGGATGCTGCTGAATAATAATTTGCTTGGGGTGGGCAGCAGCATGATTCCGCACCAGTTCTTGCAAAAACTTGGGTCGCCCTTCCTTCGGAGTTTGACAAGGTAGCCCTTCCTCCAATCAATCTGCAGGTACCTTTCCTTCCTTCCAAACCTTCTGCAATAGTGGTGTAAGTATGTCCGCTGCTAACGTCTCTGCATCTTTTTTCAGTGCTTCTGGAGGAATTCCATCTGGTCCTGCTGCTTTCCCGGATTTCAGTAACTTTATGGCGTTCGGGACTTCCCTTCTGCTTTTGTCGGACGGCTTGTGTTCACTGGTAATTCTATGGCTGCTGGTGGTATTTCTGGACGATTTGCAGGTGGTTATCGATTCAAGAGTATTTTGAAGTGGTCAGCCCATCGTTTCCTTTGTTCCTTTTCTTTGGTAGTTAAATTTCCTTCATCATCTTTTATTGGTTTCATCTCTGTTGATCTCTTCCATAACAGATAGTAACCTGGTTATTTGGTACAATGTTGTCAGGTCACTCCTACCTGCAGCCTGTTCTACTTCACTTGCCAGTGTGTCGTGGAAGTGTCTTTTGTCTTCTCGCGCACTCTTCTTCACTTCTTTGTCCAGTGTTTTACACATTGTTCTCAGTCCCTCTTCTCGTTTTACATCCTTGCACTGGTTCAACTTCTGCTTCACCATCTTCCTCTCCCTCCTCCATCAGCTTCCATGTGTCCGTCGAGATTCATTCCTTGTCTTCTTTCTTCTTCCTTCCAAATACAGGCGTCTTTCCACATCTCTTTCAAAGAGTCCCAGTGTTCTTCTATGCAGGTTTCTTCAGGAATGTTACTCAATGTCTCCCATTTTGTCCTGATGGCTGACGTGAAGATGTCCTTTGTAGTTTCGTCCTTCAGCCCAGTTTCTGGGTGTTGAACTTGAACTGTGGTCTATCATCACCAGCTTCTTTGAAGGCTTTCAACTTGATTTTGAAGTTTCCTTGAACTAGATGGTGAGTGGTGTGAACGTACATCTGCTCCCCTTCTTGATCTGATCTTATGTCCAGTAGGCTGCGTCTCCACTTTCTTCAGATTGAGATGAAGTCGACCTGGCTTTTAGTGTAGCGCGTCCATTCGGTGAAGTCCATGTCGCTCGCTTTGTGAATATCCTTTTGCTTGAACACAGTGCCTGCAACCACCAAATCGTTGAATGCACAGAATTCTGCAAACAGCTCTCCGTTCTCATTCATTTCACTGAGCGCTTTTCGATCCATAATGAGTTCGCTTCCCGGGTTGTCTGCTCCGAGTTTGACATTCATGTCACCCATTAGAATTTTGATGTTGCCAACTGGAGTCTTGCCCAGTGCTGATTGCAGCTGTCGGTAGAATTCCTCCTTCTTCTCTTGATCTGCATTATTTGTAGTTGCACTGCGTAGCATTGAATGATTGTGACTTTCCTTCCTTTTGAGTTGAATCTTGTTGTCATGATCCTGGAGGAGATTGGTTCCCACTGCATGAGAGCCTTCGATGTTCTTGGGGACATCATGATAGCCACTCCAAAACTCAGCGTGCTCATGGTTGTCGTCTGGGTGACCGGAGTAGATTATTGATTCTCCAGTTGATAGTTTGGAGAGTCCACTTCCATTCCATCTGCTTTCACAAATTCCTAACACTTCAATGCGACACCTTCTTATCTCTTTTGCAATCTGGGCAGCCTTGATAGGTCCAAACATAGTGCGGACATTCCATATCCCCATCCTTACTTTCGCTCTCATCGAGAGAAGACACATCGGCCAATTGGCTTCCCTAAGGCTTTCACCAACTGGCGTCCTTTCGCCTCTCCGATTCCAGCGAGGAATGATTTTGTTTTTATTTTTTATATTTTGTTTGTGCTTTGAAGTTTGTTTGGTGGTTGGATTGGTTTTCCGGGGCAGTGTTGCTAGTTCCACATCCAACCTTTCCTCTCTATCCGGGCTTATGACTGGCTAGTAACTAGTGAACTAGTTAACCAGACTCATATAAATTACATCAGGCGGTTCTCAAGCAAAGTTGGTTACAAAGGATTCCTGAGAACGTCTTTCAGATACTCTGTATATCTTCTAAGACTATTGAGTAAGGGGGCTTGGCGGATATAGCCGATAAAATGGTGGAAGTATAGGGTGATAATCCCTTCACTAAGTTTAACGGTGACTTGAACACAGAACAGTCAAAACAGACCCTCTAAACCCATCTGCTCTGAATTTACAGTTGGCCGCGTTGCCATCTTCTCCTGAAGCTTTAGAGACCAACATCTCCAATATGCATGTTCGACATCCGAGGTCCATGTCTAGCAGATGCTCACGTGACAGATGGCGATCCAGCATACCAAAAGTCCCACAAGACGTCCGTTGGCACCACCGCAAATATGATCAAAAAGTCAACGGGTGCATAATACCACGTACCGTCAAAAAAAACTCATCATCGGTCTATGGAAACTCGATGGTCAGACAATGAAGGCGACAGCCGTTACTGGCAAACATTCCAGTCACTTTTGTTATATAATGGATGAAACTTCAAGCTCCCGATTTTCGGGACTCATGGGTGAAGAAGTAAGTGTTCTTCTACTATCACTTTGACGCAGACCACCTAAAACGTCCTGAAAACTGTTCCTTCAAGACAGAAACAAAAAGAGGATGCCGAAATTCGGTGAGCTTATTAAGGGTATCAGCAAGAAGACGATGGTGAATGGGACGCGTTGGGATTCAAACCAGCGACTGCCGGATCCCCGGCCCGGTGCTCCCTAACAAGTGAGCTGCGAGACCCGATTGTTGGCAAATACCAGTTTGCTAGACGACGGTAACCTGGAGTAGTCAAAGTGATAATCAGTACGATGCTCCTCTTCAATTCAATTGAGATGAGAAGTCCTGACTGGGCAGTCAGTATGGAAACGATCAAGCGGTAGTAACGCGTCATGAATGCACATGGTAGTCACGCAAAACCCTTGGTGATTGAAGTGAAGTAAAAACCTAAACAGCAGTCGGGTTTCGTAGCTCAGCTGTTAGAATACAGGGTCGGAATTCCGGTGGTAGCTGGTTAAAATCCCATTGCGGGCCACACTCTCACTACACCTTTATACATGACCCAGTATACAATTATCATGTTCCAATCAATCAATATTTGGCTATAAACGTTTGCACCTAATAAAATTAGGGGTATAAAGTGGATTTAATTTTTAATACTCACTTGCTAGGTGTATAACTTTCATCCACTTTATAATCAGTGTATAAACATAGTTTGGATAGTATCATTTTTCGCGGGAATTGAATATTTACACAATGAGGTTGTGGACCATCTGACTGCCAAAATGTATCAGTAGACTCACTCAACAATTGATCAATACCATGACCTGGTTTACACGATGAAAGACTCCAGACAGCATGTTCACAGACATCACGAACCTTATGGATTTTTTTCATAAGAAAAGTGATTAAATCAAAGCCCCATGTATAACACTGTAATACTTTATATCATAAATAAATGCAGACGGAAAAAATGAATACATCCCTAATCGGTAATCAAGAGAATGAGTACAAGTCCTATGGTAGTCAGTATGTGATTTCATCAAGCTGTCAAATTAAGCAAGATCAATCAAACAAGAAGGTAATACAAATTAAACACCATAGTTCATCTCATGCTTATACATTCCATTCTATAACTGCTTAACCTCTAGAAATCAAAGATACACAGAAGCATACAACAGTAGTAAATTTAATTCTACTTGCAATACATACAATTCGTCCGACTGTGAATATAGATATGTATAGACGAAATCAGTGTGGAGATCTACTTCACTTTTTCACCTACCTAGGCAGCATCGTCTCAACTACAGGCGGGCACATGCACAGATGAGGACGTCAAAACCAGGATCGGAAAAGCGAAACAGGCCTTCACTAATCTGAAATCAGTGTGGAGATCTACTTCACTTGACTGCACTCAGTATAAAGTGTGAACAATATCCGGATTTTCAACAGTAATCCAGTCAAGTCAGTGGTTCTATGTGATGGTTGAGAGACTTGGCGCGTTACGAAAGGATTTCCAACAGACTACAGACATTCATCAACAGCTCCCTACGCTCGATACTAAAGGTCAGATGGACAGAATAATAAGAATAAGCAACAAGGAACTATGGCTAGCAACGAACCAACCAAGAACCGTCACCCAAGAAATATGCAGAACAAAGTGGAAACGGATTGGATTGGACAATACACTGAGAAAGCCGACTGGGGACATCACACGTCAGGCCCTCGAGTGGAATCCAAAGGGGAAACGACGAGTTGGGCGTCCCAGCTGGAGGTGACATGGAGGAGATGGTGTGAGGAAGAAATAAAAGCTTGTGGGCGGTCGTGGAGCCAGGTTCAAAAGACTGCAGAGAACAGAGTGGAATGGAGGCGTGCTACTGAAGCCCTATCTTTAACTTGGAATTCAAGGGAAAAACAGTTATAATAATAATAATAACAAAAGAAAGAATATAAAGTTCGACCTAGCAACGTCATCATCACATATACGCATCATAATTATGAGGCGCCAACCAATTTAGATCAACCTGCAGGACAGAATTGAGAGGAAATTATTTAAGTTCATGAATTTTCTGAAGGAAATGAAACAGTAAAACCAACTGACAGACAAAAAGCAAATTTGTAACATCTGGATCCCAAATCAGTTATTTACGTATGAATGTACTTAAGATTCGCACAATCTTCACTGGACAGTTTTGAATGGTTGATTGGCAAACGTCAACCAATGTTTGCACGGAGAATTCGCCACTCATCAATTCTCTGAAGGAACGACCTGCTTAGTTACGACGTTTCATGTAATATACACAAATGTAATTGCTACACATAAATCAAGACACATAACATACTCACCTTTCCATCGCGCTCATCTTTCGTCACATCGAAATTGGATATAGCTTTAAGCTTAAAAGGCATTCATGAATTCTGTGAGAGAAAATATATAAAGACATGTACACACACAATCCTACGCGGCAAGAATTTTGTAAAATGAACAAGAGTGGGTATGAAATATGAATATATTTCAAAACAACTTTAACAATATATCAAAGTAGAAAATTATGTAAGTACTGATCAATCTATTTGGATCTAGTTGCAATACTACTGCCACCTATAGAATCATTTCCTGATGACTGACGGAGTTTGCGAGGTGCAGGACTGTTAGGAGAAGCGATCTAAAAAACCAACAGGAAAGAAGAAAGAAAACCAAACAAAATTTCAAAAAGGAAAAGAACACATTTTACGTTACCATATAAATAAGATCACCTGGTTAACTAGTTCATTAGTCAGACCCGGCATTCTAACAGCTGAGCTACGAAACCCGACTGCTGTATAGGTTACGGATGTATTCATTTTTTCCGTCTGCATTTATTTATGATATAAAGTATTACAGTGTTATACATGGGGCTTTGATTTAATCACTTTTCTTATGAAAAAAATCCATAAGGTTCGTGATGTCTGTGAACATGCTGTCTGGAGTCTTTCATCGTGTAAACCAGGTCATGGTATTGATCAATTGTTGAGTGAGTCTACTGATACATTTTGGCAGTCAGATGGTCCACAACCTCATTGTGTAAATATTCAATTCCCGCGAAAAATGATACTATCCAAACTATGTTTATACACTGATTATAAAGTGGATGAAAGTTATACACCTAGCAAGTGAGTATTAAAAATTAAATCCACTTTATACCCCTAATTTTATTAGGTGCAAACGTTTATAGCCAAATATTGATTGATTGGAACATGATAATTGTATACTGGGTCATGTATAAAGGTGTAGTGAGAGTGTGGCCCGCAATGGGATTTTAACCAGCTACCACCGGAATTCCGACCCTGTATTCTAACAGCTGAGCTACGAAACCCGACTGCTGTTTAGGTTTTTACTTCACTTCAATCACCAAGGGTTTTGCGTGACTACCATGTGCATTCATGACGCGTTACTACCGCTTGATCGTTTCCATACTGACTGCCCAGTCAGGACTTCTCATCTCAATTGAATTGAAGAGGAGCATCGTACTGATTATCACTTTGACTACTCCAGGTTACCGTCGTCTAGCAAACTGGTATTTGCCAACAATCGGGTCTCGCAGCTCACTTGTTAGGGAGCACCGGGCCGGGGATCCGGCAGTCGCTGGTTTGAATCCCAACGCGTCCCATTCACCATCGTCTTCTTGCTGATACCCTTAATAAGCTCACCGAATTTCGGCATCCTCTTTTTGTTTCTGTCTTGAAGGAACAGTTTTCAGGACGTTTTAGGTGGTCTGCGTCAAAGTGATAGTAGAAGAACACTTACTTCTTCACCCATGAGTCCCGAAAATCGGGAGCTTGAAGTTTCATCCATTATATAACAAAAGTGACTGGAATGTTTGCCAGTAACGGCTGTCGCCTTCATTGTCTGACCATCGAGTTTCCATAGACCGATGATGAGTTTTTTTTGACGGTACGTGGTATTATGCACCCGTTGACTTTTTGATCATATTTGCGGTGGTGCCAACGGACGTCTTGTGGGACTTTTGGTATGCTGGATCGCCATCTGTCACGTGAGCATCTGCTAGACATGGACCTCGGATGTCGAACATGCATATTGGAGATGTTGGTCTCTAAAGCTTCAGGAGAAGATGGCAACGCGGCCAACTGTAAATTCAGAGCAGATGGGTTTAGAGGGTCTGTTTTGACTGTTCTGTGTTCAAGTCACCGTTAAACTTAGTGAAGGGATTATCACCCTATACTTCCACCATTTTATCGGCTATATCCGCCAAGCCCCCTTACTCAATAGTCTTAGAAGATATACAGAGTATCTGAAAGACGTTCTCAGGAATCCTTTGTAACCAACTTTGCTTGAGAACCGCCTGATGTAATTTATATGAGTCTGGTTAACTAGTTCACTAGTTACTAGCCAGTCATAAGCCCGGATAGAGAGGAAAGGTTGGATGTGGAACTAGCAACACTGCCCCGGAAAACCAATCCAACCACCAAACAAACTTCAAAGCACAAACAAAATATAAAAAATAAAAACAAAATCATTCCTCGCTGGAATCGGAGAGGCGAAAGGACGCCAGTTGGTGAAAGCCTTAGGGAAGCCAATTGGCCGATGTGTCTTCTCTCGATGAGAGCGAAAGTAAGGATGGGGATATGGAATGTCCGCACTATGTTTGGACCTATCAAGGCTGCCCAGATTGCAAAAGAGATAAGAAGGTGTCGCATTGAAGTGTTAGGAATTTGTGAAAGCAGATGGAATGGAAGTGGACTCTCCAAACTATCAACTGGAGAATCAATAATCTACTCCGGTCACCCAGACGACAACCATGAGCACGCTGAGTTTTGGAGTGGCTATCATGATGTCCCCAAGAACATCGAAGGCTCTCATGCAGTGGGAACCAATCTCCTCCAGGATCATGACAACAAGATTCAACTCAAAAGGAAGGAAAGTCACAATCATTCAATGCTACGCAGTGCAACTACAAATAATGCAGATCAAGAGAAGAAGGAGGAATTCTACCGACAGCTGCAATCAGCACTGGGCAAGACTCCAGTTGGCAACATCAAAATTCTAATGGGTGACATGAATGTCAAACTCGGAGCAGACAACCCGGGAAGCGAACTCATTATGGATCGAAAAGCGCTCAGTGAAATGAATGAGAACGGAGAGCTGTTTGCAGAATTCTGTGCATTCAACGATTTGGTGGTTGCAGGCACTGTGTTCAAGCAAAAGGATATTCACAAAGCGAGCGACATGGACTTCACCGAATGGACGCGCTACACTAAAAGCCAGGTCGACTTCATCTCAATCTGAAGAAAGTGGAGACGCAGCCTACTGGACATAAGATCAGATCAAGAAGGGGAGCAGATGTACGTTCACACCACTCACCATCTAGTTCAAGGAAACTTCAAAATCAAGTTGAAAGCCTTCAAAGAAGCTGGTGATGATAGACCACAGTTCAAGTTCAACACCCAGAAACTGGGCTGAAGGACGAAACTACAAAGGACATCTTCACGTCAGCCATCAGGACAAAATGGGAGACATTGAGTAACATTCCTGAAGAAACCTGCATAGAAGAACACTGGGACTCTTTGAAAGAGATGTGGAAAGACGCCTGTATTTGGAAGGAAGAAGAAAGAAGACAAGGAATGAATCTCGACGGACACATGGAAGCTGATGGAGGAGGGAGAGGAAGATGGTGAAGCAGAAGTTGAACCAGTGCAAGGATGTAAAACGAGAAGAGGGACTGAGAACAATGTGTAAAACACTGGACAAAGAAGTGAAGAAGAGTGCGCGAGAAGACAAAAGACACTTCCACGACACACTGGCAAGTGAAGTAGAACAGGCTGCAGGTAGGAGTGACCTGACAACATTGTACCAAATAACCAGGTTACTATCTGTTATGGAAGAGATCAACAGAGATGAAACCAATAAAAGATGATGAAGGAAATTTAACTACCAAAGAAAAGGAACAAAGGAAACGATGGGCTGACCACTTCAAAATACTCTTGAATCGATAACCACCTGCAAATCGTCCAGAAATACCACCAGCAGCCATAGAATTACCAGTGAACACAAGCCGTCCGACAAAAGCAGAAGGGAAGTCCCGAACGCCATAAAGTTACTGAAATCCGGGAAAGCAGCAGGACCAGATGGAATTCCTCCAGAAGCACTGAAAAAAGATGCAGAGACGTTAGCAGCGGACATACTTACACCACTATTGCAGAAGGTTTGGAAGGAAGGAAAGGTACCTGCAGATTGATTGGAGGAAGGGCTACCTTGTCAAACTCCGAAGGAAGGGCGACCCAAGTTTTTGCAAGAACTGGTGCGGAATCATGCTGCTGCCCACCCCAAGCAAATTATTATTCAGCAGCATCCTGGAGAGACTAGACAATGCTCTGGATTCAAACTTACGACCGGAACAGGCTGGCTGGTTTGATTCAGGAAGAACAAATCACATGTGGATCAAATTGCAACGCTTCGCTACGCATCATCATAGAACAGAGCATAGAATGGCAGTCAACTCTCTACCTCAACTTCATCGACTTTGAAAAAGCAGGTCTTCGACAGCATCGACCGAGAAGTAATTTGGTAGACAACTGCTTCAACACTACGGTTTTAGTGTCACAAACCTTTATTAACCTCATTCAACAGCTGTATGAAGACACAACATGCCAAGTGATTCACAATGGAAAGCTGAGCTCAGTGACGCCTTTGAAGTGAAAACAGGAAGGAGTGGGACAAGGTTGCCTACTATCACCGATCATCTGATTGTGGTCGAGTGGACTGGACTAGATCATGCAACAAACTGTGAGGAGCGAGGAGACGATCATATACTGGACCGATGAGAAGACCCTAGAAGATTTGGATTTCGCCTATGATGATTTATGTTTAGTGTGTTGTGGCACAAACTCGAAGATCTACAGACGAAAACTAACAAGTTGATAGAAGAGGCAGGTCAGCGAAAACGGGACTTCAAGTGAATGTGGAGAAGATGAAGGTGGTGAAGATACCCAACCAACAACAACAACAAGCACCAATCACCATCAACGGGAGAAACCTAAGGGAAGTAGTCTTTTTCACCTACCTAGGCAGCATCGTCTCAACTACAGGCGGGCACATGCACAGATGAGGACGTCAAAACCAGGATCGGAAAAGCGAAACAGGCCTTCACTAATCTGAAATCAGTGTGGAGATCTACTTCACTTGACTGCACTCAGTATAAAGTGTGAACAATATCCGGATTTTCAACAGTAATCCAGTCAAGTCAGTGGTTCTATGTGATGGTTGAGAGACTTGGCGCGTTACGAAAGGGATTTCCAACAGACTACAGACATTCATCAACAGCTCCCTACGCTCGATACTAAAGGTCAGATGGACAGAATAATAAGAATAAGCAACAAGGAACTATGGCTAGCAACGAACCAACCAAGAACCGTCACCCAAGAAATATGCAGAACAAAGTGGAAACGGATTGGATTGGACAATACACTGAGAAAGCCGACTGAGGACATCACACGTCAGGCCCTCGAGTGGAATCCAAAGGGGAAACGACGAGTTGGGCGTCCCAGCTGGAGGTGACATGGAGGAGATGGTGTGAGGAAGAAATGAAAGCTTGTGGGCGGTCGTGGAGCCAGGTTCAAAAGACTGCAGAGAACAGAGTGGAATGGAGGCGTGCTACTGAAGCCCGATGTTCCACTCGGAACTCGAGGGAGAAATAGTGATAATTAGAAAATAAGCTTACTTCAGAAGGAGGACGTTTGTTTGACCTGAGATTCAAACTGTAGGAGTGTTTGTTAACACCCGGCCCATCTTCCTTAGATGCGCTGGGACCAGAATGCTCAGGACTTCCAGTTGGTGCCTTCGATACAATAGAAGATTGCAAGGACGATCGAGCTGTTTGTGCAGGAGGTGAATTGATGGAAGGAAGAGATGGGAAACCCGCAATATCTTCAGCCATAATAGACCATGGTGGTTGAAGCTATCAAATTTCAAAACATTTTGTTTCATACATCCTCAAATGAAAAGGCGATATTAAAAGCAGCATTACAATGAAACACTTAGGAAACCAACAAAAAACAACATACAGAAAAGAAAGTAAAACACAGTTCCGAACTGCGTTCTTGTGAGCATAGAGATAAAATATATTTTCCGAAAAAGAAAATACATCGAATATAAATTAAACAATACCAATCCATTCGCCTACAAATACCACCAACATAATAAAAAAACCATTCAAACACGGAAACATAGACCACCATATCATTAAATATATCTAAGAAATCAGAAAATACATCACAAGTAACTCAGTCCGAAATAAAAACCAGCGATGACATCATCGTAATGGACAGCATAAACAATAAACATTCTACAAACTACATCCTTAGTACATGAGGTCCTTACATGCCCAAAAGGTCTCTTACATAGTGATCAGACAAAAGCAGTTACCGTTATGGTGTATATTACTGTCCTATAATGGCAGTCCGAGGGCGAAGTCGTACTGCTGCCTTGGTGCGGAGACACAGCAGTAAGGTGTTTATCATGGGTGACCAGTAATACCATGCTGGTGCTACCTTCCTTGTGGGCGTCGTTGGGGTTAGGACTGATAACCCGAAAATAGCACATTCCTCCCTGCCCCCTCCCCCCGGTTTTCCGGCGCCAAAAGTATGGGTTTTCTAAATGGATGTAAATCAATCGAAGCCAAACCCGAAACTTTCCTGAAATTAGTGTGTGACCAGCCTCAAGCAGATGTCCTCTGAGCTCTGCCGTCACATATCACCTGGCCTCGTTTTCAGGCATGTCATGAAGAAGTAACCCTACACGATGCAGGCAGCTTAAGAGTGTCAACCACCCTCACAACTCTGTCAGTAATCAAGTTCTTCATACACGCAATAAACAACCCTTCACGCAGTCACAAACCGAGATTTCTTTACTGATACTTTCGTACACCAGCTAGGGAGAACAGGAGTTGTTAGTGAGCAGCTCAAATGCATTCCACATATTCAGTGCAGTTTCACATTTACTTACCTGATACCTTTGTGGCATCTATCTCTCTTGTCCGTTGGCTACATCGTATATCACACACACTCACACGCTTACCGATTATTTTTCCAACAATCCACTCATCGCACTCAGGTTGATGATCACGGGCAAACACTAGTGTTTCTGCTTTGAACGTCTTTCACCGTCTGCTGGTGATATTTTGAAAGGTGTTTTCGGAGTCATTATGTTGTGAAGTGTTCTCAAGTCATATCCCATAAGTGCTTCGGCAAGAGTCCGACATTTCGGTAACACTTCGCTTGTTATTTTTCTCTACACAAACGCGAACATTTGAATGGTGTCCGTCAGCGTTCCAACTTTCTGCGTCCTCAGAAAAGCTCTCTTAAATGCATCCACCAAGCGCTCAGTTTGTCCATTATATTGTGGTTGATAGAACGGTAAAAGACTGTGGTCAATTTCATTATGGAGACAGTATTTCTTGAATTGTCGGCAAGTGGACTGAAGCCCATTATCACAGATGATTCCAACTGATAGCTGCTACCTTGACCCAACGGGCTAGGCTGGTGGAACGCTTGTTCCCTCGAGGTCCTACCATACCAGAAAAGTTGGTTGGTTGAATAGTGGTTAGACAAAAAGCAGTTACCGTTGTAGCACAAATCACCATACTATGATGGGGAGTCCGAGGATGAAATCTTACTGCTGTTAACTGGATAGGGTGTGAAAGGACTAAGGTGTTCCCTTTGGATGACCAGCAGTGCCACGTTGATGCTACCTTCCGAATGGGAAGGAGAGGTCAGGAAAGGTCGACCCCCAAAACAACACACCTCACCCCCACCCTCCAGCATGTCGATGCTCGTAACGGGGATTAATGGTCGGATTCAAAAGCAAAAAACCAAAAGCTCAAAGTTGCCAAAAGGCCGTAGGTGACAGACCTCAAGCAGATGTCTCAAGGGTTCTGTAGTAACACACTATTATCTCATCAAGAAGAACTAGCCTTTCATGGTGTGAGCAGCTGGGAAGTGTCACCCAGCCGCACGCTTCCAATAGTACTCAAGATACAATCAAACATAACCTATCCTCCTCAGCTGCCTTCTACTTTCCCTTCACTTCTAGATACCAATATTTAGGCCTCTTATGGCTTACCCAACCTGTCACTGTGTAACCAGTACCAACGATCAAACCCTAAGAAACCTAATTCCTAGTCCCTTAAGACACTGTCATCGATTTCATGTAGGAGTTTTCAACGTCCGGACTCTATGCCAAAGCGGACAGCAAGCATCGGTCGCCGAAACTCTGGAATATCTAGCCATGGATGTATGTTGTGCCTCTGACACACGTATACAGAACCTGAGTGTGGTTATTAAAACGACCTTACCTGAACAGTGCGGTGAATCTTCAGGAAGTGCACTTTTAGACTGGCTCCCAGTAAACAGCCATCTATGTGCGGATCGACTGAATGGATCTGTAAGGACTAGGAAGGATCGTGAAACTAGGCGATACCTATTCGTAATCTCCACTCGGATGATGCAAAGGATGAATCCTATGAGGAGCTGTCAATTTTATTGCAGAAAGTTCAGATGTAGTCATAATGGTAGGTGACTTTAATGCTCAAGAGGGAAGCTGAGCCAATCAGAAAGGCATTTTAGGAGTATTTACGGAATCCTATGCCAACGGACCGACAACAGTGATAGTCTGCTGCAATTTTCTTCTGATAATCATTTGTTTCTGGCTAGCACTAACTTTAGGTATGAGGATAGACACTGTCTCACATGGCGTCCACTGACTTTACACCAACAATGAAAACAGGTAGACCACGTTGCTACAAGCTATCGTTGGAGAGGATCAGTGGACGATTGCCGCTCTTTCTGGAGTACCAGTTAGGACTCCCATCACGGAGACTGAGTGGCCTCGTGTATGTTCGCACCTTACTGATCGCGAAAAAACAGGAGATAATGAGGCCCATCTGTGACTGACTGGTAGATGAGGATACCAAGTACGTAGTTAAAGAGAGTTTAGCTAAGCATTTATCTGGACGTGATAGCAATGCTCATCCAGAGAAAACCTAGCGTGATATCAGATCCGCTGTAGAAACAGCGGTAAAGACAATTAGTAACCTACACAAGGATGTCCACAAACGTCACTGGATTTTCGCAACTTCATCCGAACGAACTGATGCGGGGAAACTAATTTCACCTGGTACTGACCACGATGAAGAGAGGAAGCAACTTTTAGAAAAATTGACCAAGTCATTGCGTCGATCCTGAGCAGTGGTGGGTGACGAAAGCGAGAGAGATGGAGAAGGCAACAACGTCGCGTAACACTCCGCAACTAATTAGGCTTAATTAGGATACCAGCAAGAAAGCGATGGTGAGTAAAACCACAACCAAAATGATTGAGACGCTGATAACCTCTCACGACAGGTGGCTAGAAATTCAGAGAGAACACCTTGAAACACAGTTCAACTGGAACACAGTAACGCTTCCGTCCCTCAGCATCCAACCACAACCTGGATGCAAAGTGGATATCGCTTCTCCAACTCTCGTGTGAAGTTGAGAAGGCTGTTTCTAACTTGAAACGATGCAAAGCAGTGGAACCTCACAATGTGCCACCCAAAGATTTTAAGTATAAAGGTAACAAATTGCTGGTCAAAGTAACAGAGGTACTAGGTGGTGTATGGGAATCAGAGGTAGTGCCGTCAGACTGGTCTACTTCAATGATCATCCCAGTCTATAAGAAGGAACAGACATCTCCCTACGACAAACATAGAGGAATTAGTTTGACTAATATTGTGTCCAAGATTCCAGGGACCATAGTTATCCGACGCTTAACTGGAGCTCGAGAATGACGAACTCGAGACAACCAGCCAGGTCTCAGACCTGTACGAGGGTGTATCGATTAGATTTTCACCCTCCCACAGATTTCGGAACAGCCACACTTACCGGCAGTCGACACGCCATATTTCTCCACCTGAAGGCGCCATCTGACTCGTTCGACCATGGGGGTGTTGTGGCAGTGTCTGAATGAAGGGAACACCGAGAAAGTATATAACGCTAATCAAAGCTATCTACTCGAACTCACACAGCCATATCACGGCTTATGGAGAGCTGATATAAGAATTGACGACAACTAGTAATGTCCGCCAGGGGTACCCACTGTCACCGTTCCTATTTAATTTCCTTATAGACGTACTAATGAACATAAGCGTAGATATATCTGACTTCACATGGACTGACCTACTCCCTCGAGGTCATCTAGTTGACTTGGAGCATGCAGACGACGTTGCCCTGCTGGATGAAGACGCTGACAAAATGCTGGGTCTTCTGGACGCCCTCACCAGAAATCTGAGTATACTTGGTATGAGTTTCGCTAGCACCTGTCAAATATAACATGATGCTCCGGGACTGGTCTGCTGTAAGTACTCACAGTTCAACGATAGAGAGTGAAGTGGTAGAATCCGTCGACCACTTCAGTTACCTGGGAAATTGCATCAACCTGAACGGGCTGGATTCTGACGAAATCTCAGCTCAGATACAGAAGGTCCGACCGGCATTTGCCAACCTGCACCACCGGTGCCACCAACTGGCAAAGTATCCGAGTATACTGCGCTCCAGTTCGCTCTATACTGTTATACGGCTGTTAGACATGGAGAAGACATGAAGCAGTTACAGAGTTCTTGATCACACATGTCTCCGTAGCATTGCTCGCATTTGGTGGGATCACCGTGTGCGCAATCTTGAGAGTTTAGGCGAAGGGTACTAGGCAAGACAGACAAGTCGATTGATGAGGTTGTGAACGTTCATTGGTTGGGATGACTTCGACGTGTTGTGCATACCAAGTCACCGTCTACCTCGACGTCCCATGCTAGGGGAAATTGCATTAGGTTGCAAGAGGATTCAGGGTGACCAGACTAAAACGTGCCACCAATCCATGAAGTCTCTTACTGTTGGCCTGAGCTGTGTGGGGAGATGTAGACTGTCTAGA